CTGCACTTTTCTCCTGAAAAGCGACTTTCAGCATTCTTAATCACTTACTATAACTATTAAAGCCTCATAATAATTATTAGGGTAAATTATGGAATTATTTCCTAATTTCACATAATTAACTGATTAAATTCCTTAATTAACGGTGCAGGTTCTTACTATATGAAAGCCAAGTTTCGCTTATCTGAGGACCACCTCCAACATCTCCAAAGAGTGTTCAGCCGATTGAGGGAATATAACATGAGACTAAACCCCAGCAAATGCACATTCAGAGTATCGGTCGAGAAATTCCTTGGTTTCATGCTAACCAAAAGAGGCATTGAAGTCAACCCTGACAAGTACAAGGCAGTCCTAGAAATGAAGAGCCCTCAAATTATCAAAGAAGTACAACAGTTAACTAAGCGGATTGTAGCCCTCACCGGTTTCCTAGCAAATTCTGCACATAAATCCCTCCCCCTCTTCAACCTGCTAAGGAAAGGAGTCGGCTTCCAGCGGACTGATGAGTGTGAAAAAGCCTTTCAAGAGTTCAAAACTGTGTTGTCATGCCCGTCGATCCTTACCAAACTAGAAAGCGGCAAAACTCTATACCTATACCTCGCCGTTGGTACAGAAGTCGTAAGTGCATCCCTTATCATGGAATCCAAAGAAGAGGGATAAAGACCAGTCTACTTTGTCAGCAAAGTATTGCAAGGCACTGAACTACGGTATCAACATGTTGAGAATGTAGCCCTCACCCTGATTTTTGCAGCCTGGAGACTAAGACCATACTTCTAGTGCCACCTCATTGTGGTCTGAACCAACCAACCCATCTGCTAGATACTGCACAAGCCAGACCTCGCCAGACGAATGATGTCTTGGGCGATCGAGTTGTCAGAATATTAACTCTGTTACGAACCAAGGACCACTAGTAAAGCGCAAGCCCTTACAGATTTCATTGCAAAAATAACGCACGCTGCCTAGTGTGCAGACCCTCCCACCAAGACACAACCGCCAACTTTATAAAGATTTTTAGTAGATGGCTCCTCGAAAGCCAAAGGCTCTGGCGCTAGCGTTATAATTGAAAACCCAGACAAGGTCGTAGTTAAGCACTTTCTGTCATTCAATTTCAACACCACCAACAACCAAACCGAGTACGAAGCCATCATAGCTGGCCTTCTTCAAGCCAAGGAGTTAGTAGTTCAACACCTCAAAGTCTTCAGTGACTCTCAGTTGGTGACTTTCCAAATCTCAGGTGAATACCAAGCCAAAGGGCTTTTGATGAGCAATTACCTAGACAAGGTCAAGGAAATAATGCAAACTTTTGAGACGGTTGAAGTAGAATACATAAGGCGGTCAGAGAACACCTGGGCAGACATCCTCACCAAACTAGCAAGCACCAAGAGCCCAGGCAATAACCCCACGATCATTCAACATAACTTACCTAGTCCATGCAATCAAGAAGTGGCTCGGAGCAATTCAGGAATCACTATCACTTAGAAAAAGGATATCGTTGACCTTTTGCAGGAGACATGCATGATAGGATGCAAACTAGACAAGACCCTTGTGGAACCTAACACTAAGTTAGAAATTAAAGATGAAAAAAAGGTAGATAGGGAACAATATCTGAGATTGGTTAGAAAACTGTTTACTTATACTACAGTTGACCTGACATTGCCTTTGTAGTAAGCATGGTTAGCCAATTTATGCACTCACCTAGGGAGAAACACTTGACTGTTGTCCACAAGATCCTTAAGTACCTTAAGAACACTCCTGGCAGAGGATTATTTTTCAGAAATGGGTTCAAGAGGTTGATTGATATCTACACCAATGCAGATTGGGCAAGTTCATCAATGGAACAAATATCTACTTCATGCTATTACACCTATGTGTAGGGAAATCTTGTGACTTGGAGGACTAAAAAATGAATGTAGTTGCAAGAAGCAATGCTGAGGTAAAGTTCTGGGATCTAGTTCATGGAGTTTGTGAAAGAATATAATTGAGACAACTTTTTGAGAAATTAGAGATCTCTTATTCCCTAACAGCTAACCTATATTGCTACAATAAGGCTGATGTCAACATTGGTCAAACCTGTTCACCATGATAGGACAAAAAATGTGAAAACTGACTGCCACTTCAGACCTAGTTGACAAGTTGAGAATGATCAATATATACCTCCCAACTTGAGGGGGAATGTAGAAAATCTAAATATTATTTCCATTCATTAAGAGATTTTGTCAAATTCTTAATTGATAAGATTCAATCAATTAGGATCAATTTTATTGCCATTTTTATTTAGTATGGACTAGTTTCTTTTTATTTTTATTTTTTGTTTTTTTGGAGAATGAAGGAAAACAAAACAAAACAGAAAAGGCAACAAAAACAACAAACTAGCTTGGGCAGAGCCTAGAACGACCAAGACCAATCATATCTTTCAGCAACAGACTAATGCATCCTTGCGAGGCTTCAACAAAAACTAGGTCTTCCAACCATAGTTGATAGCATGAGTGGCCAACCAATCACCAACCTTGTTTCCCTCTCTGAAGTTGTGAGAAATGTTGACTTCCCAAGGTCTAGAAATGTGCTTCTAACTTTGTGAACAATAGACATGGCAGGATGGCTAGGTGGGCAGCTATGTGAAATGAATTCAACCACCACCTTTGAGTCTCCTTCTAACCAGACTCTTCTAAAATCAAGCTTCCATGCTAGGTCAAAACCTATGATGGCTCCCCATAATTCAGCAATGAGGAAAGATCCAACTTCTAGGTTATTTGAAAACCCGTGAAGCCACTTCCCTGACAGATCTCTTATAACACAACCACAACCGCTAGACGCCCCATTATATCTCGACCCATCTATATTCACCTTGACCCACCCAAAAGTAGGAAATTTCCATCGGATTAGCTTCTCCGTTCTTGATTGAGGCAACAACCTAGTTGATATGAGAGTCTCTCTTGTTGCTATGATCTCTTCTACTGTGTAATTGACTTTATGCAGAGTGCTTGCGTCGTTCAGGCATCTCCCTTCGAAAATCAAGATATTCCACCTACTAGAGTCAGTTATCTTTTTTTGGCTAGATAGATTAATAGAGAGCCATGATGCAAGTGGTTGGTTGAACAAGTCTTCCTCTCATCTGCCCTGGATTAGAGATTCCCAAATTGGTTGAACCCAACTATAGTCTCTAATCGCATGAGTATAGTCCTCAGCTTGGACTTGGCATCCGGGATAAGTGTCAAAGTGCGTCATGTGTCTCTCCACGTGTTTAGTATTAGTGAGCGAGTTCTGACTACCAAAAAGGCACAAGAATGTCTTGATGCACTACGACCCATCCCACTTCCAAACTTCTTTCTACACCGGTTTAGTTTCCCATCATCCACCTGTGAAAAGTGATCAAAGGATGATTTTACTAAAAGCCCAATCGCTGGAGAAAGACCCAATAGTAGTATCTAGACCATCATTACTACCTGGAGGAGGAATCTTGACTATCTGCTAGATAGCCTCTCGAGGAAGGTAAGGATTAAGGATGTCCTACACCCAGTCTCCTTGGTCAGTGACATACTTGTTCATTGTCCAATGTTGTTTCTCTTGTGGAATGCGGAAAATATAGGTGGATTGAAAGAGTGCCAGTCCAAGGAACCACTTGTCATTCCAGAATAGCATTTATTTCCTATCCCCAAGCATTATTCGCAGGCCCTTAACCAAGCGAGGCCATGCCTTTACTAACCCCTTCCAAAGATTTAATGGGTTGGCAGCATGTTGGATCCGAGGAATCAAGCCTTCCCCCATTCTATATTTGGCTTTCGAGACCTGGGTCCATAGTGCGTCATGGTTGGTAATCAAACCATGCCAATTTTCATCAAAAAGGTTGTGTTCATGTCTCACATATTTCGTAACCTAAGACCCCTTCATACTTTGGTGTACACATACCAAGCCACGACATTAAGTGCGGCTTCCTATGGTCCACTTTTGATCTCCAAAGAAATTGTCTTGAAGTTTTATCAATCTCATCACAGGTAGGGATGTAAACGGGCTAGTCGGCCTAACAAGAGCCTACGACTCGACTTAAATCAAGTCAAACTCAGCCTATATCCATATAGTCAAATAAAACAAACTTAGACATAAAAAAAAGCCTATTTAGAAAATATTTTTTTTACATGTCGAGCCTATCGACCTATATCATATTATTTATTTTAAATAAATTATTATTTTAATAATTTTGTAATAAAGTAATATTATTTTAATTATTTTTTAAAATATTGAATATCTAATAGATCGACCCCAACTAGTTTAGGATAAAGATGTTGTTGACGTTGATTGAATATCTAGTAGGTTTAAACAAGCTATCTTGTCTAGTCAAGACTTTTATTTTTTAAATATATGTCAGACCAGACTTATAATTTTAGCCTATACTAAGCTAATAGACCAGATTAGCATAAAATATTTTACATACACTTCACTTATTTAAACCAAAGTCTAATTCCACATAACCTATTTATATCCTTAATACCAAGCACTCAGAGGCAGGAGATTGGTTTGCATTGCATATACTGAGATAGCCGAGATGACTGCTTTTGTTAGTGTTAGCTTCCCGCAAATGATAGTGATGCCTGCTTTTATTTCCTTTTTCAATCACACTTGGTCAGTACTTACATGTGTATCATCTCCTCATTACAATACAATTCAATGAAACATTTTCTTCTTAGAATTCTCACAACATATTTTTTATTTCAATATATAAATTAATTTTAACATAATTTTTTTAAAATACCATGTTTAAATACAAAATAATTTTAACTTTAAAAATAAAAGCCTTTCAAACAAGGAATGTATAATTTGTTTTTAAGAAAAAAAAATCCTTGTCCAAATAAGCCAATAATCCAGTCCAAAGTACTAACTAACCTAAGGCATGTATTGTAATAAACAGCAAACGCAGTGTCTTTTTCAATTTTCCCCTATTATCGCATTTTCGGCAGAAGCAATTCATATATATATACACAGAGGGTGAGTCTCACAATCAGACACACACAACCCTTTTCTTACATTCTTCAAACCCGACACACGCACGCACACGCACGCACAAAAACTACACTAAAGAGAAGATAATCACCGATAATCAAGGTGAACTCCCACACACTGAGTCTCTCTTTCTCTCAATACAATTTTTAGGGTTTTCTTTTTCTACTTTCCTTGACTATTTCACTCTTTCATTTTCATTGCATTTCAGTTGCATTTGCATTTTCATTTACCTTTGCATCTTCCACTCCTCCCTCTCCTTTATATAATTTTTCCTCATTTTCTATCACTACGAGTTCAAGATTCATTTCGATTAAGCATCGTTTCTCTAGATTCGGTTTATCTGACACTCTTTTGACTTCAGCTTCGCAATTGTTTGGTTAAATTAGGTTTGATTTTCTTCTGTATTTAAATGATGATGAATTTTTTTTCATGAAGTTTTGACTCTGGTCAAATGGTATTTGAACTTAATTATAGCGTTTTAATTGTAATTGTTCTTGCATGTAAATACCGTGTCTGATAAATAATTAAATATTTGCAATTAGATTTTTATGATTGCCTTTGTATGTTTGTTAATTTGATGATGATTATGTTGAAGACGTTGCTTTGTCAATTACTGTTTCGTTGACCTCTTTGTCATTGCTTGTATTTGTTATATATGTCGTACAATGAGCTTGAGTGCTTACGACATTTGTTTTGACATGAGAAAATTGTTGTGGCCTTATATTGTTTCCATTGTTTGCTTGCAGTTAGCGACTTCAATAGAGTTAGTGGACAGCAGTGATAGGATTTATCTTGGCTGTCACATTAGTACCTTTTGAGGTTTATGACTGTTTTGGGGTTTTCAATATGAGTGGTGTACCTAAGAGATCTCATGAAGAGACTGTTCAACCATCTTCGAAGCACCCACATCAAGATTCGGGTACATATTCCAAGATGATTTCATCGGTTTCGAATGACCACCATAGTCCTTACGATATAGGTCAGGATTCCCGGGCGGGAAAGGCGCTCCGTATTGAACCTCGTGATGCAGACAGAAGATCTCCTCTTCACTCAGTTTATCGGATGCCATCATCGTCGAGTGATTCTCATGCAGATCACCCCATCGGAACCGATAACAGGATAGAATCAAGGGATTTTAAGGAGATTAGAGATGTCCGGTTTGAGAGTCGTGATATGAAGGCAGATAAGAAGGAGTTACATGGTGAAGCAAGAAGGGATTCTCAGATTGCTAAGAGTGAGAAGGATGTGCGTTTTGAAGTTAGAAGTGATGACCACAAGGATAGCAGATATGAACGGGATAGTCATAATGATTCAAAAGGTGACATTAAGACAGAGAAGGATGGCTATGGTGCGGGAAGCAGCCACTTGACTTTAAAAGATTATAAGGGGAAAAGATATTCTGATGCCCCTAGTGGGAGTATGGATTCCTGGCATACGTCACGTGCAAATACACCTGTGGAAGTTGGAAAGGATAGTTCAACAGCAGAAGAAAGGGACTATTTGGAAGCTCATGAGGCTGTTGGGGAAAACAAAATTGATTCTAAAAGTGAGGATAGATTTAAAGAGAGAAAAAGAAAGGATGTGAAGCATCGTGACTGGGTGGACAGGGAAAAAGAGAGAAGTGATCGCAGAAACAGTACACAACTTAACAATAGTAGTGGTGACAGCAAAGAAGCTGCCAAAGAGGATAGAGATGTAGAAAAGTGGGAGAGGGAGAAGAAAGATCTTCCAAAAGAGAGAGAAAATTCAAAAGAGAGGGAAAAAGATCATATAAAGAGGGATTCGTGGAATGTAATGGAGAAAGAGGTTCCAAATAATGAGAAGGAACTTGGTGATGGATCAGTAAAAATTCCAGAGCAAGAAATTGTGTTACCAGAACAGAAGAAACAAAAAGATGTTGACAGCTGGAAAAATGTTGATGGAGAAGCTAGAGAGAGGAGGAAAGAAAGGGATGCTGATTTAGAAGGTGATCGGCCTGAAAAGCGAACTAAATTTGACAAGCAATCAGAAGACGGATGTGCTGATGGGGAAGGGACTGGAGAGAAGGAGAGGGAAGTCCATAATTATAATGTTCAGCATCGTAAGAGGATACAAAGATCAAGGGGAAGCCCTCACGTGGCCAATCGCGAGGCTCGTTTTAGATCCCATGCCCAAGACAATGAAGAGTATTTTCTTCCTCTACTTTTATTGGTTAATTATTGTGTGAGAACTTAGTTATCCAATAAGTATCTTTTCATTTCAAATATATTTTTAATTTATTCTACGTGATTTTTTAGTTCTAAAAGATGAAGCTTCTGAGCCCTATTAGCATAAATTTTTCAGTCTTTTATTCTTCTTTTTCTAGAATTTGCTTTTGGGAGGATGCTAATGTCTACATTTTAAGAGTTAAAAGCACCTTTAGGGGGGCAGCACAGTAATCGTCAACAATTGCTTATGGGTATTTTTGTAGCCTAAAATTTTGTAGGAACAACGACAATAAGTAAATTTGTAAGGTTAACGATAAGTGAATTTACCAGCAAACAAATCAGCTCGGTTAGTAAACACTTTAAAAAGAATATACTTAGATTTAATGAACTTAAAAACAGTAAGGTTATATTGACGTTAAACTTTTTTCCTCCCATTATTATATTATTAGGTACGTTAATATTTGGGCCTTTGGAGGAATTTTTGTGCATTTGAATTTGTGTATTAGTTATTCGTATTCTTTTGTATCACAAAAGTTCTTCAAATTTTTGTTTTTAATCAAAAAAGAAATCTAGTCATGGAATTACAATAGCCCATGAAAATGTTTATGGGTGTCACGAATCAACTTTCCCAAAAGTTTAAGTTGTTAGGTGAAGGCATAGAATGATTTTATTATATCTCTAGCAATAGGCTAAGTTGAAATTCAGGGTTGTTTTTGTACAAAAAGATTTGTGAAATGCTTGAAGAATTCCTCAGCATCCCATTCTATTTATGTAGGATTTACGATCTAATAACGGTAAACTAGGAAATTACAATCCCTGATATTGGGAAACTAAGAGAATAAGCAAACCTAGAAACTAGGGAAATAAGGAAAGTAATACAAATTAAATCCTAATTAATTACATAATCTACAATCCCTAAATAGAAGATACTATTGCACATCAAGAAGAACTTAATTTTGTTTTTTTTCTCTTATTATGTCAAATTGACAATTATATTCCTCAGCTTGCACTTCATTACTCCCTTGTGCCTTGAAGCACCATGTTGATAGAAGTTGATGTCTCTTGTTTGATACTTTGATTTATTCGTACCGTTTTGGTTTTTGGATTTATAGTCCTTTGTATTATTTATTTTTTTCCTTTTAGTAATTACCTTTTGTTTATTTATTTTGCAGGTGTCAAGGTATTATATCATATTTTTTTTCACTGGCTCGAAGTTATATGGCTTGTTGTAGATCTGTGCCTTCATGAATTAGTTCGGGTTTCAATATAAATTGCTTTGAATAGCCCATGGACTTATATTTTATGATATATTTTCTCCTCTCAGATTGGCTCATCTCCTTTATACTTCCTTTTTAATGTGTTGTGTTGTGTGATGGGTTGCTATTATAATGTGCGTGTCTATTTTGGTACTTATTGATGGAGAGGAAAAGATTAGAGCTGGATATTTTTCTATTCTTTCATTTGCATGTTCATTATATGTAAGTTCTGGTATTTCAGCTAAAGCAGAAGTATCTTCTGTTATTTATAAAGTTGGTGAAAGCATGCAAGAACTGATAAAGTTGTGGAAGGAATATGAATCTTCTCAATCTCAAGTGGAAAAAAATGGTGAAAGCTCTAATAGTGGCCCCACTCTTGAAATTCGGATACCAGCGGAGAATGTTACTGCAACAAACCGCCAAGTAAGATCAAACTCTTTGTTATTGGAAAATTGACTAGTGAGTGCCTTCTTTTTTGTGGGTCGAGGGTTAATAGCTCTTTTTCTCCAAATGATAAATAAAATTCTCGAATCTCATATTTTCAAAGTAAACATTTCATATTCAAATTCTATCCGACATTTTTGAAGTAGTTAATTGCGCCGCAATAGCGCCGCGAGCCACACCGTATGGGCGTTGCGGTGTCTCGCCGCAAGAAACTGCGCCGTACCGCACCAAAACGCAATAGCGGCCGTTGCGATCGCATTTGCGGCCAAATTGCGGCATATTGATGTCATAAGGCAAAATGTCAATTTTGTCCTAAATTTAAATGTGTAACAAAAAAAATTTAAGGGTTTTTTAGTCTATCCGCTTCTCTCTCTGTGTCACTTATGCTATCTTTGCCTTTAAAAATGTTTTTTTTTGCCATTATTTTTGTCATATATCTATCGTCTATTTCCGCAACCGCAACCTGCTATAACGCTATAGCATTTTTCGGGGTTGGCCGCGACATGCCGCAATCCGCATTTGATAACTTTGGTTAATAATATTTAATATCACAAAATATAAATATCATGGTATTATATAAAAATCCATAACATATAAACTTATAATTAATCAATTACAATATAAAATAATTGTTTCCCCATGCATGTTATTAAACTATATCGATACAAAAAATTTCAAAAATAATGATAATGATAAAATATGTTATCATAATTATTATTCACTCGCATCTCTGAAGAGTCAACTAAATCACTAATCACTAATCAACTAAATCACTAATCACTTCCAGTGGCTCTGGAGAAAGCAAATGAGGTAGTAACTAGCCAATTTGAACACCAACAAATATTTTGACATGCCTTTAGAAATTATATAAAAATAAGCTAACAATACTAACAATAGGTAGTACAGAGATGAGGTAAATTCCCTAAATTTATACTCAAAGCTCAAAAATACACCTACCCAAATCAAATCTGTCAAAAATATAAATTCCTCAAATGTTTGGATATTGGATTTACGAGTCAAATAAGTCAATTTTTAAGGAGTGAGTTGGGTCCCTTTTTTCTCAAAGCACTTCCTTAACTCCGAAAATCACTTCCAAGAAAAAAAATGGGTAGGGCTTTAAATTTTCCTCAAGATGCTTGGAATTTGGTTGAAAAGGAAGCAAATTAAAAAAAAAAATGAAGAAAGAGAGAAGAACGAAGAGAAGTTGAATAAACGCTTCTATCGAAAAGCTTTGAATCTCATTTATTGAAATAAAATTACCATTCTGCCCTCTCTTTATTAGATACAGTGTGTTTCATTACCCTTCTACATTTTCCGGTATCCCTTTGGTTTTATTTTATGCTTGTTGTTGATCATAGTAGTTAATTGCGCCGCAAGCCGCGTCGTATGGGCGTTGTGGTGCCTCTCTGTAAGAAACTGCACCGCGCCGCACCGGAACGCAATAGCGGCCATTGCGACCGCATTTGCGGCCATATTGCTGTCACACGGCAAAATGTCAATTTTGTCCTAAATTTAAATGTGTAACCGAAAAAATTCAAGGGTTTTTTAGTCTATCCGCATCTCTCTCTGTCACTTCAGCTATCTTTGCCTTTAAAAAATATTTCTTTTTGCCATTATTTCTGTCATATATCTATTCTGCTATTTCCGCAACCGCAACCCGGGGTTGATTGCGACATGCCGCAATCCGCATTTGATAACTATGTTGTTGATACATTGAATCTAAAGTGTAAAGTCCATTTTATAATTGTTTTGTGATTATTATGGACAGTTTTTGTTGATTCTTGCTTGCCATTGGCAGGAATTTGGTTAAATACTTCAGTTAATGAAATGATATGATGAGATGAGAGTCTTTTATTTATTTATTTTTTCCTTTTTTAATCTTATCTATATGTTTAAATTTGAAACTCAAGGTACGAAATTTAAATATTCTTTAGTTATTGATGCGATACAAAGTATTGAGAGTTCAGATTATTATGTTCAGGTCAGAGGTGGCCAGCTATGGGGTACTGATGTGTACACATATGACTCAGATCTTGTTGCTGGTATGTATTATTACAAAAAGGGTGCAGCTAGTTTTTGATTGCAAATGACTGAAGTTGAGATGTTTGAAATTAGTACTGATGTTGCAATTTTGTTGCATAGTTCTCATGCATACAGGTTACTGTCGCCCAACAGCTTCTCCTCCTCACATGGCCATACAAGAGTTGCGCACAACCATTCGAGTGCTTCCTCCGCAAGATTGTACGTAGATCAGAAAGATGCACTCTTTTTTCATTGTCTAGTAAAGTCTTGGCACTGCTGTCTTCAATAACATTGAATTGCATCTAAGTGGTCTTGAAGTATTAACTGGGAATGTATTTATGGTTAAAACTCAATAGTTTTCGTATGTGATAAATAAATGGAATTTCCCACTTGATCTTGGGTTTTCCATTTAGTAGTTCTGAAAGGTTTAGTAGTTATTTTTTTAAGAATAATTAAAGGGAAAAATGTTTGTCCTTTTAAAGGATGGTCATTTTAGTTAAATTAGTGTTTCGTATTTGAAATTTAAATTAAAAAAAATACCCACTTTCTCCCCCCATGATTTTCATTGTGTATCTCTTTCTTTCACTTAAAAGGACGCAATTTTATGTTCTTTAAAAGGACAAACACCAAACCCATAAGTAAATATGGAACTCAAAATATCATACTGATCTTAGCATTAATTGAGCAGTATGTAACTATTGAGTAAAAGGAACTTGATTTGGCTTGAAGTTGGAAATTTTGGAGTTGTCTTTGTGACGCTGGATGTTGACTGTAAATTATGTACCAGCGGAAGAATGGGGTAGAAAGAGAGAGAGAGAGAGAGAGAGAGTTGGAGCTATTTCATTTTTTATATTCTAAGACTTGAAGCTCTGAATTTACCTGAGTACAATACATTCCATGGCTTATCTGCTTACTAAATTTAGCATTTAATAGCTATAACTTGAGTTATCATATTAGTAGTTTTAATTCTGAATAAAAAAGAAACATATAACTCATTACATGTTTGATTACAACACTTAAATGCATGCTAGAGTAGCTATTATTTTTAGTGCAAAACCATTTTGTAAATTGAAGGAAATTTAGGGCAGATGGTTGAAGAAAGAAAGAACAAGAAAATATTGATGGCAGAGTGTCAGTAAAGTATAGATTTGCAGGACCTGATTGAAAGTCTCAAATGGCTCAACAAATTTTATACATACAAATTCTAATGATAACAATAAGAAGATGTAGGCACTTTTAAATGTGGAAGGTTATCAATGAGGTTCAGACCCTTGGTCTTCGGATTTTATATGGGAGGGGGTTAACTCTCTTGATCGGAAAGCTACTCCATGTATAAAAAAGAAGCACTTCTTGCATCACAAATTGTCATGTCTCCTGCACCACGCACACCCAGTTGAAACTTAATCAAATTTGTTTGTAATATATATATATATATATATAGTGGGGGAAATCAGTCAGTTTTGTTGGTTTCACTCCTTTGCAGTGATTGATATTGCTTTTACCATTGAAGCTTTATTTGAATTATCTAAATTTTGTGTGTAATATCAGGCTATATTTCTACCCTGAGAAACAATGTACGTTCCCGTGCTTGGGGTGCTGCAATTGGTTGTAGTTATAGAATTGAGCGGTGCTGCATTGTGAAGGTAGTAACCAAAGCCCTACAAAGTCCTTTATCCTTTGGAACTTGTGCCCCCTAAAATTATGTGTTATCTTTATTGTAACCTAGTCTACTTTAGATGCTTATCATATAATTCAGTCCACTATTTTCCATTCCAAATATCATGTCCTTTTCTATCTCTTTGATATCTCTCATGTCTTTTGGGAGAGTTTGCTGACTAGTTTTATATAAATTCTTTGCGTAGAACGAGGACATTATATTTGGGATGGAAAGGGATGGTTGTGCCGGGAATGTTTACGTCAATATTAAATACATAATGGTGATTCTAACCATTTTTATTTCTTTGGTTTTCAGAAAGGCGGGGGAACTATTGATCTTGAACCTTGCCTTACACATACATCAACTGTTGAGCCCACCCTTGCACCAGTGACAGTTGAGCGGACAATGACCACCAGGGCTGCAGCTTCGGTTTGTCCAGTGTCTTATAATAAACAAACCTTTTGCATTAAAATTGAACTAACATTTATTTCACATTCTGTTATCATCTTACTTGGTCCTTTGTTCTTCAGAATGCATTGCGGCAGCAAAGATTTGTACGAGAAGTCACAATACAGTACAACCTCTGCAATGAGCCTTGGTATGCTAGTTTTAGATGGCAAAGTACTGTCTAATATAATAATAGTGTTTTGTGATAGAGAATAGAAGCCAAGTTAGTGGTATTTTTGTAAATTAAAAATATTTGAGCTTTTTGCTTGGGTTATAATATTAATATTTCATATCCTCATATAGGTTGATATGAGATGCAACAGTTCTGTTTTGCAGCATATCTTGTTTTTATTATTTATTGATTATAATGATCATCAGGATCAAGTATAGTATAAGCATTGTTGCTGACAAGGGTCTAAAAAAGCCTCTTTATACATCTGCTCGTTTGAAGAAGGGAGAAGTTCTGTATCTGGAGACACACTCCTGCAGGTAATTTTTACATGGAAGTTCTTGCCCAAAATGAGTTATCTGTATGTCAACTGTTATAGGCTTCATATTTGATTTCCCTTTAAAAAAATCTATCTGCAGTAGCTATTAAGGGCCATATGCAATTGTCATATTCTTATAAATGTGAAACCGTATTGGATTGTCACCCTCTTTCAGTAATTGCTTCTTAATATCCATTTGAGGAAAATTTCACTGTTATTGCTCTTATTTTTTTTTGGGTTTATTGTTTCTCCATCAATATGAGATGATGTTGTCTCTATTATCTCCAAAACTACGTTGTTTTGGGGGTTGGGAGAATTAATAAAGGGTATTTTTGGTAAAATTTATATATCAAGAAACAAATAAAATTCCTAAAATACCATTCATTAATCCCCCAATCCCCAAAACGACGTAGCTTTAGAGTTAATGGAATAACTTTATCTCATGTTGATGGAGAAACGATAAATCCTTTCTTTTTATATAATAATTTTTTTTTTTTTAAAAATAGCTCTTGTTTAATTTATGGAACTCAATGGTTCCATGATGATGGTCTTGACAACTGTTAGTCTATTTCCATGGTCCTATTGAAGTCGGGTAGTCTAGTTGAAGTTATGAAGAAACTGTACTTATATATGAGTCAATTCTTTGTAGATATGAGCTCTGTTATACTGGAGACAAAGTGTTGAAGGCTACACCAGCAACTCAGTTGCATGACCCAGATATAGAAAAGTCTCAAAATCACCACCCACACTCGACAAATGGTGAGAAAGCTGATTCTGATAATGTCTTGATTGATGTATTTCGCTGGTCTCGTTGTAAGAAGCCTCTACCTCAGAAGGTGATGCGTACGATTGGCATCCCTCTTCCTCTTGAACACGTGGAGGTATTTTTGAATCGATCTTTCATTTCTTTTCCACTGGCATGTGAATAATAATCTCTACAGAATTTTTGTCGTCAATTATGAGTAACTCTTATTTTTACCTTTGAATGTCCTTATTTGCCTCTACTAGTCTTCTTTTTCTCATTTAAATAGTTGTACGGCGTATGAAGGGGGAAAGGGGAATATGGGGGGTCTCTTTAAAAGGTAGAGGGGGAAGTCACATTGTAGGTCTTGGAGCTGATGACCGTTGGACCAAATGCTCAAGTCACTAGTCTTCAATTTATTTGGAATAAATACTCTTTTAGGTCCTTAAAAAAAAAACACGGTCCTCATTTTAGTCCGTTACAAAAAAAAATTAGTTGGTTGATCCCTATGAAATTCAAAGTGATTAGTTGGTTGATCCCTATGAAATTCAAAGTGGACCCATTTTAGTTCTTTTGAAGGACTAATATGGGTCTTTTTTGAATTTGTGAGGGACCACGATTTCAACTAAATGGGTCCATTTTGAATTTGTTGGGGACCTCGAGACTAATTTTATTTTATTTTGTAAGGGATTAAGTGGGGACCGTATTTTTTGTTAGGGACTAAAAAGAGTATTTACTCTTTTGTTTGTTTATCAATATGCCGCGCAGGTCTGCTTTTTTGCTTAATGTTTCAGTTTTTGCATAAAATCCCGAGGCCTTTTATGTAACTTGTGGTCCTTGTTTGGCTTGCTTCAACATGTACAGGATCACTCAATTTGTTACATATAATGTTATTCGAATTAATTGCAGATGGCAAATGTACTTTAGTTAAAATTTCGCATTTTCTGGCGTAGGTGCTGGAGGAAAACCTGGACTGGGAAGATGTACAATGGTCACAAACTGGTGTTTGGATTGCAGGAAAGGAATATACCCTTGCTCGGGTGCATTTCTTGTCGAAGAATTAGTACATTGCCCTTCAATGTTTTGAACGGAGGATTGAAAGTGGAGGGGTGTTACGGTGCTGATAAAATGCGTTCTTTTGTGTACTTTTAAAGATGTAAAATTACAAAAAGGATAGTATTTTGATGTTACTATAATTTTTTTTTTTTTTTTTGGTTTTTAATAAAATTGTTGTGCCATGTGTATTTTCTAAATTATGATCTTATCTTGAGGTCTTTGACCAGCAGAGTCAAACTGCCTATTTGAGACAAAGATCGATAGGGCGAGATTGTATCTAGCTAGGACAAAGACGGGGGTTTTAGTAAATCTTCCAAGTTTTTTTTAAAAAAAAACATGTTTTATAATTTTAGAGTAAATATTTTTTTTGGTCCTTAACAAAAAACACGGTCTCCACTTTAGTCCTTTACAAAAATAAATTAGTCAGTTAGTCCCTAACAAATTCAAAGTGGACCTATTTTAGTCTTTTTGAAGGATTAATATGGATCTTTTTTGAATTTGTGAGGGATCACGATTTGAACTAAATGGGTTCACTTTGAATTTGTTAGGGACTAACTGACTAATTTATTTTTGTAAGGGACTAAAGTGAGGACTGTATTTTTTTGTTAGGGACCAAAAATAGTATTTACTCATAATTTTATTTGCCAATTTAGAATTGATTCTTCTTTTTTATTACGTAATAATTATGATAGTGTATATTATTCCTCGATCAGACAATGGCAGAAAAGGTGTGAACAGTGCCAGTTGAAAGGTGAGTATCAATAACCAGTGTCGAAGCCATGCACTGATTACTGATTCTATACTCTGCAAGCTAACAGAAACAAATAGTGAACCGTTTATACAAATCGGGAGGCCAGGTCTGTTGAGGGGATTGTGATGCGTTTGGAATCTGAATACAATTTCATTTCCCTCTACTAATCAGTGGTATGGAGTGGCTCTCAGGTGCGACTCAAATAAGATTGATATATAATTTGAGAAGAAAAGGGAACAAAATAATTTTAAAAGAGCAAAATACTCAAAACTGAGCTGGGCTTGAGGAGACACTTTTAAGATTTTGGGATCATCGGTGGCAGGTCAAAAAATATAGTGCTTGTTGCTAGAATGAAGGCGACTGAGGAACAAAGGTGACAAAAAGGATGACAATGACCAGAAAAACTTTAAAATCCAAATAGGAATATAGAATTTGTTTGATTGTGTTCTGCTTTTTTATTCTTAAAATTATTTTGTAAAGTAACTAACGAAATAGATGTTTTTTTTTTTTGAGTTAAAAGTCAAAACACGAAATAAAAACAACTGAAATATGTGTTCTATAAATTTGATTCTAAAAACTAAAAAGTAGATCTAATTTTTATAACTATTTCTTACAAAATAGATATTATCAAATATGTTTTTTCATTTTTTTCATTCTGAAAATTAAAAAACTGTTTTGGAAAACTAGAAAAGGCACAAGACATTATAGATTGCCACAAATTGGGAAGCTGAAATTTAAATTCAAGTCATGCAATTGTTATGTATGAAAGGTTGATTAAGTGATCCAATGCTTGTTAACTAAGATATACAGTACATGATTTGATACAAATATGTTAATTGAAGAATGTGTTTTTCTTTATTTACTTATTTATTTTCTAAAAATTAGTATAGTTAATAGTTCATTGTAAGGGTTCATTTGCTTTGTTCGTTAAAAAAAACACTGTAAAAAGTTAAGGACATTGTTACGCCCCCTTCGTTGTTGTTTCAATCCAACAATCTAAAAATATTTTGGCTGTTATTACGACATTACTTCAAAATTATCAATCTTAGCTTCAGAACTTTTTTAAATGGAAATATTTTATGAATAGTCTATTTATTATTTCAAAGCAAAGATACATTGCATATGTTTTGTACCATTAAATATAAGGGAAATTACACTCTTTGATTTCATGGTTTGCACTTATTACACTCGAGAACCTTCTTGTTTGGAATGGCTTTAACTTATTTTGGTTACAAGCAATGTCTAGAGACTTAGCCAGGTAAGAGACCTATAGCCCTATAGGTTAAGTTTGAGAAGCTGAGTGCCAATAGCACCATCGCAAACAAGCTATGCAGTTAGGCTATTGTAACAGAAACATCCACAACAATATCTGCATCTAACCCAAGCAAACTTCACAATTTCATTATAAATAAACTATTATTTGACAAAAGATATGACTATACAAAAAATATTGAGCTGTGACCTAAAAATCAAATCACATATTAAGGTGGTCATCAATTCCATGAAGATGATTAAGTCACCTAACCTTTTGCAACAAACCCACATTTTGAGTCGCCAAGCTATGACATTTCTCCAGCCAAGAATTACCACTCATCCCATTTATTGAAAAAGTCATCCCACATAGCTGCAGCAATTGAATCCCTTAATGAGAATGCAAATTGTTCTTGAATTGAAGTAAGCAACTGAACATCAGGAAGTTCATCAAGATCTGACAGTTCATCCACTGCTACCCCGCCGACACTACTGAATAACCAGTCATTTCTTTCCTCACGGCGAACGAAATTATGCAAAACACATGCAGCTATGACTATATCCCGCTGAATCTGAAAGGAATATTGAGGAGCAAGTTTAAGGATTGGGAATCTAGTTTTCAACACATTAAATGACCTCAGGATAGCATTCCTCAGAAAACAGTGCCTGTGATTGAACAACTCCTTTGCATTTCTTGGTAATTGATTAGCACCTTTGTATTCATAACTCTGGTACCGAACCCCTTGAAAAGGAGCAATAAACCCTTCTGTGTTTAAGTACCCCACGTCAACAAGGTAATATTTTCCTATCAAATAAATCCAAAAGAAATTATTAGTAATGCAATGTGTAACATGAACAGATATTAAACTTAAAACTACAGATATAAATGCAATCAAACCTTGAGGTATTTGAGGGAAATTCTGATCTGGGTCATCAAGGACTGCCCTTAACACACGTGAGTCAGTGACAGAGCCTTCCCAACCAGGATAAATGAATATAAACTGCAAGTCAAATGTGCATGCTGCCAGCACATTTTGAGATAGGATACCTTTCTTATCTCGGAATCGAGATTGATCTTTGGCTGGAACATGTGCAGGAATGTGCATACCATCAATTACTCCTATACAATCCTGAAATTATAGAGGGAGGGAGGGGAAAGGTAAGTAAACTAGCACAAGTATTAAAACACAGAAGAAATCTTGAATTGAATAAAGAATATTAATGGAGAATGAACTCAAAGATCAATGGAACCTTGAAATATGGGTAAAATCTAGTACTGTTGAGAATTTCTGGAGGTGTTGTGAGCTGAGGAGGTTGCAAAAATTCACGCGACAGTGACTTGATAGCCTTCAATACATTATTAAAATGTCGGCTAATGGTTTCACCAGAATGCTGAAACCGCTCTTGAATCACTCTATTACGTTCATTATGGCCAATGATGTTTAAAAATATTGCTAACTGCTCCTCTATCATTATACCAGCAGTATCGCGTAACATGGCTTTTTGACGGAGAATATCACACAACTTGTGAAATACATGCTTGTCCATCCGCAACATTTCCCGGAAAAAGTCATCGTGCCCATTCAGCACTTCTGTCATGAATTCACATCTCCTAGGTGATAAACAACGGGAAGGTTGTTTAGTTAGACAGCTATAGTAATAGTATCCAGCAGCAGCCGCAACTAGTTCCATTTCATCCAATTCTAGGTCAATATCATCCATGCTAATTGGTGTATCTGTAAAGATAAAGTTCAAGAGTTCGAATGGTGCAACTGCAAGATAATATATCTGTTTGATATATCTAGTTCATAGCTTTAGAAAGCATCTCAATCATGCATAAAACAAGTCAAACAGTAGTTCAAAAACAAAGTGCTGTTTTTTCATTAAAAATTAACATAGGCTTTAAGCACAAAATCCAATTAATAATAGTATCTAACATAACATCATTCCCTTGGAGTCTACTTAACTGTACAAAAGTAAGGGACCATTTTTAAACCAAAAAAAAAAAAACAAGGAAATTTTTCTCAAACAATTCAACTAGAGGAAACACCACATTTTCCATGCAACCATGGCAATCTTTTTTCACCCTTAAGAGAGATGAAAACCTCTCGGGCATTGGGGTGGTCCTCAAACAAATCCAAAGCATGAAAGTAAATCCGTTCATCAACACCTTGCATCTCATCCAACACTTTGATGCACTTTCTTGTAGAGAATCTGTCCTTATTCTTCATAATTGCACTTGCCCTCATCTTTGAGGCAGCTGCTATCTCCAGCATGGCATCCACTATAGCACTCCCGGCAGCTTTCCGGCCCCTCTTCCGGCCACCACAAGAACTAGATGGCACTCCAGTCTGACAATTGTGTCCATCTAAGATGATCACATCATCTGCAGAGCCAGAAGAAGCATCCTCATCCACATAAGTCATTGGCACTGCAACATCAATGTGCATGCTGTTCAGGTCTCAAAATCTCAATGCAAAGCATAACGTAACACAACACAGCATAGCAACCAAGAAACAGAACACACAGAAATCCCAAACCCCAATGAAAGGAAAATTCCCAAACACAAATAATAAGCCCCAGAATCCCAAAAATTCAAATTCTCAACAACAATACACAGAAAACTAAAAAACCCCAATGGAAGGAAGAATCGTAAATATCCAAAAAAGAAAAACAAAGAGCCCAAGAATGCAAAACTGACAAAAAAGAATGATTTTTTTTTTTTTACATTGGATTGGCATGCAATTCTGACAGAGAAAAAGGGACAAAAAAATCGTACCGTGTCGAGCAATGCTATCGAAGTCTTTCAATTTCTCGTGTCACGGAAAGGAAACTGTGGACAAATTAAATTGCAATTTCTATGTGAATGCAGAAATGAATGAAAAACTGAAATTTTGAAACCCTAAAACCATGAATGGTGGAAGAAAGACAGCAGCAGAACGCATCGTTGCATTTGGTTACTACTTACCACTAGACTAGTGACAGCACTTAAGAAAAAAAAAATAGAAATTAAATTTTATTATTTTCATAACCAAAAAACAAATTATTATTTTGACTTCTTCTTTTCTTTTTTTAGTATTCAAGCCCATGAGAGCTACCTAACTTAAAATACTAAATATTAAGTAAAATAATTTTATATATTATGTGTTATTAAGTTTCCTTATTAACTCAATTTACTGATTTGGGACATAATAATATCCCCAAACATGAGCTAAATTTTTATTATGTTGGAAAATATGTAAGAATTCACCTATGAAGCACCGACACTTCAAAAACCTTGACGTATCGTGTCCGACACTTTCCGACATTCTCGGACACTCCGACACTCCAACACGCGTTATAGAAATTCAAAAAAGGTTCAAAGGTTACATTGCGTTAAGTTTTTAGTTCCAACTATTAGATTTGTTGAATTATGATTACCATTTTATTGAGTTTAATATAAATATTTGGGATATCTTATGTTTCTTTGCAAAATTTATGAATATTATAAGTTTAGATTCATTTTTTTGTTAAATTATTGAATATTAAATATAATATATACTATATAAATTAAAAAAATTATTTAATATCAAAACGTGTCCTAACGTGTCGAAATTTAATATTTTTTAGAATTAACGTGTTGGAGTGTCGTGTCATATCGTGTCACGTGTCAGTATCGGTGTTACATAGAAATTCACTAGGCTTAAATATAAGTAGAAAGAAATTTACTTCAACTAACTAAAAAAATGAAATTGTAAGACAATTTTAAGATTTCTCAACATAATATTAAAATTGGAAGTCTTTTTGTTTATTCACAACGAAGAAAAATAAGAGAAAACATTTAGAAACCCATTAATTTTAATATCTCTTAATATAATTCACTAGACTTGCCTATGAATTGACCAAGCTTAACAAATATAAATTTATGGTTTTGGAAAACATGTCTATGATGCAACAAACATGAGAAACATTTTGCCTTTTCTAAATGTTTTCTCTAGTTTTTCTTCTTAATGTATAAACAAATTGTTCGTTTTTTCTGCTGTGAATATAAATAAGTTATTTGTATTGAGCCCAAAATGATATCTTTGTGGGGGCAAAAATCAACATATTTTTATAATTATAATTTATTCCAAGATTATAACAGCCTTTTTGGAAATAAATATATATAACTTATATGCATGCATTGTAGAAACATTAAAGCCATAAACAAAAAAGATTTGTTTTTTTGGCAGTTGCATAAAGCAAAACATATTCGTGCAGCAACATGAGATGATGTTTACTGTTACGAAACACAATAAATAAAAATAGAAATTTGATTTTATTAAGGAAGTCTAGCCTCAAATGGCTTTAGTGAGGAAGTCTGACCTCTTGTACGGAGTGCTTTTTTTCCAAATAATTCTTCTGATGATCTTTATTCAAATGTTTCAAGGTTTAAATAGATAATACAATTCAACAAAGTGACCCCACACTAACACTAGATAGGCTCCACTAATAGTTAATGCCTAAAGTTGAAATTCAAATAACAAAACAAACAAAATAACTACCCACAACGCATTATTTAAACAAACCAACAATTCATAAAATAATAATAAAATAATAAAAATAAAAAACTGTAACATTCCCTCCCCTAAAAATTACTCTTGTCATCAAGAGTAAAATCAAGATCAAGTAATTGAATCATCTTCAATATCCATGCCCGCCTCTCCTTTGCTGCTGATTGAAAAATGTCCTCTCGCTTTCTTTCTTCTTCTTAAAGAATTTTAGAATTGAATTTCTCATTGGATATCCCATGTCTAAACGAAAGTGGGGTCTTGGTTGAGGGGCATTATTTGAATGAGATACTTTGACCGTATATAAATTTTTCATGGTAATGTTGAGGGGAGTCGCTCATTTGGTGGAGAGAGAAAGAGATAAATGTCAAAGAACAATGGAATTCGGAAAGTTTGGTGGTTGATATTAGAGCATCTAGCCGATTGGAGAGTTTGTTAAACATCTCCTTGAATTTGCCAAAGACATAAATGGTTTTACTGAGGAAGCCTGACCTATTGTACAAAGTGCTTTTTTTTTCAAATAATTCTTCTGATGATCTTTATTTAAATATTTCAAAGTTTAAAATTAGATAATACAAGCCAACAAAATAACTATCCACTAACACTAGATAGGCTCCACTAATAGTTAACGCCTAAAGTTGAAATTCAAATAACAAAACAAACAAAATAACTATCCACATCCCACTATTTAAACAAGGGTAAAGGATTTCTTCGGTCAATGTAGATAAGTTATCTCCGGTGAGCCCAAAATGACGTCGTTTTGGGACGAAAATCAAGGTATTTTTGTAATTATAATATACTGCAGGGTTATATTAGTCTTAATCATTATAATTTTTAATCTTATAACCCCAAAACGATGTTATTTTGAGCTCACCGGAGATAAAGTGCCTGTTTGGATGGATTTATATTCCTAAAAAAGTTGGTTTTTTTAAATAAAAGTCCTTTTGAGAATATTTGATGTTTGGATGACAACTTTTTAAAAAAAAAAATTAAAATAAAAGTTAAAATGATGCTTTTTTTATAGCCAGTAGTTGGTTGCTTTTGAAAAAAGCAGAAATTAAAAGAATATAAAAAAAAATTGCGAAAAAAGATAATATAAATTTTTAAATACAATTTTAACCTTATCATATTATACCTATTTTATCTCTCCTTATCTTGCGATCATGCTATTTTATCTCTCCTTTATTGTAATTTTATATATAAAAAGTGTTTTTTTATGATGGAGGTTATACTCACAACCTATTTTTGTTTACAATCTCTTACAACCATATATTAACCGTTGATTTCCGCAAATCAGCAGTTATCATTTATTGCGAATTAATAATTAATTAATAAGTTTAATTTGCGAAAATAATAATTGTTAATTGCAGGAAATCAACGGTTAAAAATATGGTTATAAAAAGGTTGTAAACGAAAATAGGTTGTAAGTATAACCTTCCTCTTTTTCTTTTTTTTTAACATCCAAACAACTTTTTTATGTAAAAATGATTTGCAGATCATACATCCAAACGTAAAATAACTTTACCTTTTAAAAAAATTATTTTACAAAAAGCAATGCATAAAAAGTCATTTTCTTAAAAACTCATCCAAACGGGCCCAAAGTTATCTCCACTCCAGTGACTAGATAAATACTTTTTCCTTTAAAAACAAGGGGAAGGATATTGTAACAACCAAGTTGTGTTACTATGTAGCAGGCCCAGATAATGAGAGGCCCAAACGCATGACAAAGCCACCAGCCCATCTCCAAGATTATGTTTAAAGCTTTATTAGCTAAGAGTCTTTACTTTTCTTATTTAATAATTATGCAATTATCAGTTTGTTAGTTAGTTGCAGATAGGAATAATCCTTAAGTTATTCTTATCTTCAATTTGTTATTTTTATTTCCAGTAGTTAGTTAGTAGCTGGCATTCCTTAGCCATTAGGTTGTTATTTGTTTTACTATAAAAATCCTGGAAAAGATCAATAAAAGTCATTGGATGTTTTGATCGCAATTCTTTCTTCCTAAATTTCTCTCCTCTCTTATTCTTTTCTCTTAATTCTAAGAAATTCCCCTTCATTGGTGCTTTCATCTGATCTCCCTCCCACATGGCGGAGAACACACGCATGCGTGAAATGACTCAGCGCATAGAAACGCTGGAAAAAACAACTCGAGGCAGCAGAACTCGTATGTGAACAACAACAATTAGCATTACAGGACTCGCAAGCACAATTGCTGCAATCGCAAACACAGCAGAATCAACATTTTGCGATACTCCGGCAGGACATCAATCGAATTCTCGAAAATCAGTCCAACGGATCTGGAGTTCTCGGCTTAGGTCCCTACAAATCTCAGCTGAATAACACAGGCATTAATCGCACACAACCAACGAAAATCACTTTTCCGAGGTTTGCAGACGGCGATCCCACTGATTGGATTTTTCATGCCAATAGATATTTTGAATTCTATCAGATACCAGAGGCAGAACGTGTGTTAATTGCATCTTTCAACCTTGACAAACCAGCGAATTCTTGGTTCCAAGGACTTTTTAATGATGGGTTTATTCCCAATTGGCCAGCGTTCGTGGTGGCGGCGCAAAGGCGTTTTGGACCATCGGAGTTTGAAGATCCAGCAGTATGCCTTGCCAACCTTCGACAACAAACCACGGTTAGTGAGTTCCAAGCTAGTTTTGAAGTCATAGCTAGCAGAGTACCAGACCTTTCTCCTACACTCAAAAGAGCACTATTTGTAGCCGGTCTCAAACCGAACATTAGGAGCCAAGTACTAATTCAACGCCCTCAAGATATCCATGCTGCATTCTCACTGGCAAAAATATATGAGGACCAGCACACAGACTCAAATACAGGGTACAAAGCCCAACGACAGTGGACACCACGTCCACCGTTCACACCAAATACATCAGCCAATCAATCAAACACCACCAAATATCCATCCACAACATCCCCACTTCCTATTAAATGACTTTCACCAGAACAAATGCAACGTAAAAGGGAAAAAGGGCTTTGCTACAGTTGTGATGAAAAATAAGTGTTTGGCCACAAATGCAAAGGGAAAGCCACATTGCTCTATTTTGATGGCATAGAAGATGATCCACCCCCGTCTGACTCTGAAGAACAAACAGAATCTCCAATTACAGATAAGATTCCTAATTCCTTTTCTGAGATCAGTTTGAACGCCTTATTTGGCCATTATTCTCCACGATCCTTTCGTTTAACAGGAACGATATTTGGCAAACAAGTTCAGGTTTTAATCGACGGAGGCAGCACTCATAATTTTATCACGCATAAAATGGCTACTTATTTGGGATTGGTTTTGCAGACTTTAGAGCCATTTATTGTGCAGGTAGGCAATGGTGAGGGATTTCAATGTCTGGCATATTGCAAGGAGGTACCTCTAGTGATGCAATCTCATTCATTTTCGGTGGAGTTATACGCTTTGGAGCTAAAGGGTGCATATATTGTCCTAGGAGTTCAATGGCTCAGCACCTTGGGACCAATTCTTACTGATTATAGCCAATTACTCATGACCTTTGACCACCAGGGCAACAACATTCAACTTCAGGGACACCGTCCTGACAACCCAATCCTTATATCATCTGCAAAGTTGAATAAACTTATGGTCACGGATGCATACACTTCATGCCTCATGAGTTTCAACCGTCCTCACTCTGCCCCACCCAATACCCCACAAACACATGACACGGAACCCCACCATATTGTACCTGACATCCAAAAATTACTCTCCACCTACAATGATGTGTTTACCATTCCCAACACCTTACCACCACACCGTCCATATAACCACCACATCAATTTACTCCCTAACACAAAACCTATCCAAGTTAGACCCTACCGCTACCCACATTTCCAAAAGAGCGAAATTGAAAAATTATGTCAGGAAATGCTATCAGCAGGAATCATTCGCCCTAGCCAATCCCCATTCAGTTCTCCTGTCCTACTGGTGAAAAAGAAAGACGGTACTTGGCGATTTTGTGTGGATTACAGGGCCTTAAATGCAATCACTGTCAGAGATCAATTTCCTATACCAACCGTAGATGAATTGTTGGACGAACTTCACGGGGCAACAATTTTCTCCAAACTTGATCTCCGATCTGGTTACCACCAAATTCGCATGCACTCCGAGGATATTCATAAGACAGTATTCAGAACACACCACGACCACTTTGAATTTATGGTTCTTCCATTTGGGCTGTCAAATGCTCCTTCCACTTTTCAGGCAACAATGAATGATGTTTTTGCACCACTCCTCCGACGTTTTGTGGTCATATTCTTTGATGACATCTTAGTGTTCAGCCCAACATTACAAACACACGTCAATCATTTACGTCAAGTCCTGGATATATTGAGGAAACACCAATTGTATGCGAAACTTTCAAAATGTTCATTTGCGACATCCACTATTCAGTTCTTGGGACACATTGTCTCTAGTGCAGGTGTCGCACCTGACCAAGATAAAGTCATCGCCGTTTCAGCATGGCCTACTCCCACTGCGGTCACTCAGGTTCGAGCATTCCTAGGGCTTTCAGGATACTATCCGAAATTTATTAAAGGGTATGCAAAAATAGCTTCTCCAACCACTGATCTCCTCACAAAGGGCAAATTTTATTGGACAGAAGAAGCTAACAAGGCCTTTCTGGAATTAAAAAAGTGCCTTACTGAAGCACCGATTCTCACTTTGCCTGACTTTAGAAAGCAATTTATAATTGAAACAGATGCATCAGGAACAGGTATAGGAGCTGTATTGCTCCAAGATGGAAAGGCAGTAGCGTATTTTAGTAAGAAACTCTCCCCACCCATGCAAACTCAATCAACTTATATAAGGGAGATGTATGCTATTACGTCGGCAGTAAGAAAATGGCGTCAATACCTCTTAGGATCCAATTTCGTCATACGAACGGACCATAAGAGCTTGCACCACCTGATGAATCAAGTGATACAGACACCAGAACAACAACAATTTCTGGCAAAGTTACTGGGGTATAATTTTACGATCACTTTTAAATCAGGCATTACTAACGCAGCTGCGGATGGTCTATCCAGACAGCTACCAGGGGATATTGGGTCCCCATCTGCGCACCTCACATCACTCTCCACACCACAAACTCACTATGTTTCCGTATTACAGAAGGAGCTACACAGCGATACCTATGCTACAAAAATAATAGGGGAGATACAGTCATCCAAAGTAAAAAAGGGGAACTGGGATATTCAAAATGGTCTACTGCTGCATAGAGGCCGCATATTTATTCCCGAAAAATCTTCCTTGATCCCCAGTTTGCTGCAAGAATTCCACTCTTCACCCATAGGAGGACATGCTGGAGTCCGTCGCACCTTATCCCGCGTGTGCACGTTTTATACCTGGAAAACAGTACAGAGAGATGTTCAGGAGTTTGTGAAATTTTGCGACATATGCCAAAGAGTAAAGCCCATAAATCACTCACCGTATGGTCTGCTACAACCACTTGAAACGCCAAAGGAAATCTGGTCTGAGCTAACAATGGACTTCATCACCCATTTGCCACCAGTCCAAGGATACTCTGTTATTCTCGTTGTGGTCGATCGATTGACAAAAGGTGCTCATTTTATTCCACTGCCAAGCTCCTACACAGCCACCAAAGTCGCACAAGCTTTCTGGGATAATGTCGGCAAGTTGCATGGACCACCCAAATCCATTATCAGTGACCGTGACCCAATCTTTGTCAGTGCTTTTTGGAAATCTCTGTTTCAACTCCAGGGAACACAACTCCGCTACAGTTCTGCATACCACCCACAAACGGATGGTCAAACAGAGAGGGTCAACAGAACGTTAGAACAATATCTCAGAGCTTATACATTTGCAAAACAGAAGGAGTGGTTAAAGCACCTACCCTTGGCAGAATATCACTACAACACAGCATACAACCGCAGCATAGGCACATCTCCATTCGAAGCAACGTATGGCAAACCACCTCCGTGCTCCTTGCGGTACTCGTTGGGCATGTGATCCTTGGAAGCTGTGGACTCCACACTCGACCAAAGAATGGTAGTCATGAAAAATCTTCGTGAGCATTTAAAGAAGGCAAAACAAACCATGAAAACACACGCTGACAAAAAGAGGCGAGACTTTACCTTTCAACCAGGAGATTTAGCCCTTCTTCGTCTACAGCCATATCGTCAGCTTTCCCTACGACACAGATCATCACACAAGTTAGCACCAAAATTCTTTGGTCCATACACAGTTGCAGAAAAGATAGGCAACGTCGCTTACCGTTTACATCTTCCACCAGAACCCAAGTTACACCCGGTTTTCCACATCTCACTGCTACGGCCATTTCATCATCGAACTGATAAACCAGTCCCCACCTTTCCATTAGCGGTGGAACAAAGTGAGTTGGAACACACACCAAGTGCAATATTGGCCACCCGAACAATTTGGCGTCAAGGCAAACCCAGAAAACAACTTCTGGTACAGTGGTCTCATTTACCACAAGAGGCTACCACTTGGGAAGATGAAGAAGAAACGGAAACTTGGAACGGTGAGGAAGCTCTGCACAACTCAAAGGCAAAGAAAAAGACTCAAGAAGGGGAGCTACATGGGGAGAAGACACAACTAAATGACAACGCTGGAAGGGGTAAGGAGATAGCAGGCAACGGGTCGACCATTAATGACTCCAACCACTCAGCTGCACCACCCATAAATGCATCCACCCACCCAGCTGCAATTGATCAGTCACGCACACTGACCGAGGAGTCACATGGGGCAGGCGCCCTTAGTGATAAGGTTGATCCCTTTGGAGCCAATCAGTTTTTTCCCAAGGGATTTCGGACTAATGCCATAGCGCCACATCAACCTGCTCCTTCACACATCCAGGCTGCACCAAACCACGTTGATCCCGTCGCTGCTGAAAGGACTTGGGCCGTCGATCCCACTGCAAGGCCCGCGACAGATATCATTGAGCTTGAGGACAAGCTCTTTTCTGATGGGCAGGGAATGTAGCAGGCCCAGATAATGAGAGGCCCAAACGCACGACAAAGCCACCAGCCCATCTCCAAGATTATGTTTAAAGCTTTATTAGCTAGGAGTCTTTACTTTTCTTATTTAATAATTATGCAATTATCAGTTTGTTAGTTAGTTGCAGATAGGAATAATCCTTAAGTTATCCTTATCTTCAATTTGTTATTTTTATTTCCAGTAGTTAGTTAGTAGCTGGCATTCCTTAGCCATTAGGTTGTTATTTGTTTTACTATAAAAATCCTGAAAAAGATCAATAAAAGTCATTGGATGTTTTGATCGCAATTCTTTCTTCCTAAATTTCTCTCATCTCTTATTCTTTTCTCTTAATTCTAAGAAATTCCCCTTCATACTACCATGTTACTACCAATCAATCTCACCGTTAGATCGATTATGTTGATCCAACGGTTATATTTATTTTCATCTTTGTATGGTTATGAATATGATTCCCCATATTTAAAGTGAAAGCATTAAATATGGAAAATCATAACCATACAAAGGTGAAAATAAATATAAAGTATTAAATTTGAGAAATCATGACCATACAAAGATGGAAATAAATATAACCGTTTGACCAACATAATCGATCTAGCGGTGAGATTGATTGGTAGTAACACAACTTAGTTGTTACAATATCTTTTCCCTAGAATTAATGTCATCTTAGTAAAAACACACAAACTCTAAATTAATAAACAAGTCAATGTTTCATGATATTTTTAATCATTGTAGATATAATAAAATATTATTATTTATCTAATCATTATAAATTTATAATATCTTACTTATACTAATTAAAAAAAAAAACTAAAACATTTGTATAAAAAAAAACTAAAACATTTGTATAAAAAACAAATAAGACATATAAATTAGAAGTACGAAAAAATATTTAAGGAAGTATCAAATATAATATGTATGTGACAGATTTCTCTTTTATTGAATACTTAACGATTTATAAAACCCTAACAAAACCCCTTTCTCTTCGATTCCAAATTACAACAAACGATGTCGTTTCTCCGAAAACCTCCCAGCAAAACCCTTAATTCCCTCTCTATCCTCACCTTCACCCTCCGCCGCTTTGCAACCCAAACCGCCGCCTCGAAACCCTTCCCTGACGTCCCCACCTCCGCCTACTACGACGAAATCGCCGCAGACGCCGGCAGCTCCGGCAACCTCGACGCACTCCGCGACATCCTCAACAAGCGCATCAAAGACGGATGCTTCAACACGAAGCGAACCTTCAGCTTCATCACCAACACCAATTTCTCTCCCTCCCTCGTCGACGACCTCATCGGAACATTTTCTCGCCTCAAACAAGGCTTCACGCGCAAGAACGCGTTCGAATCCCTCGTCACGCGCCTCTGCAAGCTCCACCGCGTCGATGACGCGCTGCGCGTGGTTGAATCGATGGCGCGCGGCGGCGGATGCGAACTCACCGCGTCCACGTTCCACCCCATTCTCAACCTCCTCACCAGGGAAAAATCCATGGACCAAGCGCAGCGCGTGGTGGATCTCATGGCTCGGCTCGGCGTGCGGCTCGACCTGACGGCTCACAACATGTTCCTCATGGCGCACTGTTTCGCCGGCGACCTGGCCGCGGCGGCCGAAGTATTGAGGAGGATGGAGGAGGAGGGTTTTGAGGCGGACGCGCGTACGTTCGACGCGCTGGTGATGGGCGCGTGTAGGACGGGGAAGGTGGAGGGTGCTATGGTGATGGTGAGGAGGATGGTGGATGATGGAGTGCCCATGGTTTACTCCACACACATGCATGTGATTGTAGCGTTGCTGAAGATGAAGTGCTATGAGCAAGCTGTGAAGTATGTGAGGAGTTTCAGTGGGAAGGATAAGGCGTTGGATGCTGAGCTTTTTGGGTGTTTGGGTAGCAAGCTTGTGAATTTGAAGAGCTTTGAGAAAGCAATGTTGATTTTGGAAGAAATGAACCAAAGGGGTTTGCCAATGGGTTATAAATTGAGGGAATTTTATGAAATGAATGTTGGAAATGATAAATGTAAGACTAGTAGTGATTGATAGTGGAGGATATTTAGTGTGGATGTGAAATGATAAATGTAAGACTAGTAGTGATTGATAGTGGAGGATATTTGGTGTGGATGTGATTTGTTGAGTGTGAAGAAAATGAAGAGCTAGAATTATAATTTGTCCTTAGGATAGTTCCATGACCCTTTTTTTCTTTGGGACAAGAATTGCTATTATGTGCAATGGATAAATTGGTGATGGTTTTAGATTTGTAGGAGATGGAAGACAAATAATTATTAGAAAATACATGGGTTTTATAGTGTTATATGTAGGAGAAATTATATGTAGAGAGGTGAAAGAAACCAATTTTCTCTGCAATAATTCTGATTACTGATCAGTTCATGCTTGCGGCTTAATATTGAGGAACATTGTGGTAATGAGAAAAAAAGAATTCAGTTCATTATTGTTTTGTCAATGTGCGATGCTGGCTTTAACACTGGGAAGTTAATTATATTATGAATACATCTCTGATCAATTTCTATACATCTGTGACTGCCAACAATAGTGAGTTTCCTAATCAAACTCCCTATAGCTACACTAATCTGATCTAAAATTTCTATTATGCATGGGATAGAATTCCCAGCAAAACCATTCTAACATCAATCAAACTTTTATACAGATCCTTTACTCTCCCCTCTATGAAATCAAGCCCATCTTCCAATTCCCTGCAATTTTTCTTTAGTCTCTCAACAGAAGACTTAATCATCTCTTTTTCCCTTTTACCCTTCATCTGTTCCTTCAATTCCCTAGCAGCAATCACCATCTGGTGCAACTCATTCATCATGAAAGACCCAGATCTTCTTCTTTTCAGCTTCTTCTCAGCACTTCCCTCTGCTTGCCCTGCCAACTCATTCATGGTGTGATGTTGACATTGCTTCATCATTGGCAATCCATGTTTGGAATCATCAAATGACAAGCCAAGTTCAAGAAACCTACACCCCTTTAAGGCCATGGCATTGGAACCACACACAATCTCACTGAACTCACTTTCATGATGATGGCTTAGCTTTTGCCTCAACATTCTTCTCATCAAACACAAGCCATGCTTCCCCATTGCTTTGCATTTCTTTTCTATATCATGACATGATTTCAATTGGTCCAATGCACGTGCTGATGCCATGGCATCACTATCAACCAAGCGTGCAACCACTCTCAATGAATCCACATACTTCTTCATGTTCTCTATTCTTTCCACAAAGTAATTGCATGCATCAAGAATATCAATGTTTCTTTCTAGGTACTCTTCCATAGCTCCATGGTCAACATCATCTCTGTAAGAAACTTTTACTAGTGAATCCAACGCAATTTTTTGTGTATTGATGGCAGCATCAAGTAACTGATCCAACCCAAGTTCACTAACTCCAATGCCTTGTGACTGAAGGGTGTCAAGCTCCACCGTGAGTGCTCGGTTGAATTGGGTTGTCTCCGGCAACGGGGCCACTGCGGCTACCGGCACCCTTGGTTGAATCCGCCGCAAGGAGAGGTTCCTTAGGATGGTTGATGGTGTTCTCATGGTGTAACGAAATTTATGAGACATTTACATGAGCAAATTGATGTGCAATTTTGAGCTATATATATATGAACTATAAAGCCACATTGAGTATAGGACATGTGTCCAAATTGCACTTAACAAAGAAAAAAAACAAGTGCATATCATATAGTCACAAATTATGTAATGGGTGTCCTAGAAAAAGGTGTCAGGATGGGACCCACATAATTAAAAGTTGTGTCCTAAATATTAGATAACTGAATATGATGGGATCATGAAATTATGGTTGTCTTTCACATTAATTATATGTTATACGATACAAGAGTATGATTTAATTTTAATCTATCATGCATTACTAATTTACTACGACCAATTTTGTTAAAAACACAGTGGATAATGAGTTGTGGAATTATGGGTGAAGATTGAGTTTATTCTTAAAGATCTATATAGTTACAATATGTTTAAAATACTAAATGTAAGATTTAAATATTAAGAATCTTTGCGTTTGGTATCACATCTTAAATATATTATTACATTGTACAATTTTAAATTTCAAAATTTAATATTTTAATATTTTTAAATTAATAAGTTGGCAATGATATTTTATGATATAGAAATAATAAGAATAAAATGAATAATTAATCCAAAATATTTAAATGGAGAACAATGAAGAACACCAGCTTAGTAACTGCATTTTCCAAGTAGTTAGGAATTTCGATTATTAACTGTTGGGTGAGTTAACTCATTAAACTAGAGGAATACAATGAACCAAACATAATCTGCACTAAAATAGCAGGCACATAAAAAACATCTCAACAGAAGAATATTAAATAGCCACTGTGTTAGGATTTGATTGGGACAACATGGACAAAATCTTTGAGGAATAGATTTGCATGATATATATCATATAAAAAAATGTTGTGGGGATGCCCTTGAACTAGGCTGCTTTGGAAATGAAAATAATTGGATGCATCTTCACAAAAAGAGCTAGCAGCTTCTCTCTCAGACGCTGGCACCATTGTATATTAATATTTGTAATTCGAAACCCTCCACATGACATGCACTACGAATCCAACATTTTCTTACAATGTCCCTCTGTTGGCCACTTTTCAGAGCAACTATATTTTAAGCATATAACTATGGTTAATTTCTCTTTGCTTTTTGTTGGGAATTTTATATTTTGAACGTTATGATAGGCTGGCTCTTATTCAAAGCTTTCATAGTTCATATTTTTTTATTGGTCTAATTTGATTCGAGCATTATGGGGTTTATATTCGGGTGGTTCTCCCAATATTATTTCTTCATCCTCAATATTCAAACTCAAAATCTCTTATTAAAAAGAAGGGCAAATTATATAAAATCACCCTGTACTTTGATGCTTTTTAAAAAGACCACCTCCTACTTTCAATTGGAACAATTAACCCCCTTGTACTATTATATTTCAACAATTAAACATATTTAATAATTTTCAGACAAAAATACCCTTACCCCCACTATATATATGGAGTATATTAGTAATAAGAAAAATGGAGAATCCACTCGTCCGTCAACAATAACCGATCGACACCATTGGGAGGTTTCTATCCATAATTCTAAAACAGATATAATCAGTTCCTATCATCAGCTGCTCTTTTGCAGTGGCGACAAGTTTATATTAATCAAATTGACCCAAACACTACATTTCGCATGTTAGAAGAATAATTGGCTAATGCATTAGGTTGGCTCCAGACTAACAATTGTTGACAAGTTTCTATCCACCACAATGTTTATGTTCGCAAATAGCTTCAGATTCAATCCAATTTTTCACGCTTGAATTTGGGCCGATCGTCCATTAAACTCGTTCCCCCTTGTCATAATTTCTATATTGTACGAGGTTACATTACATATACGTTCCCTTCTCAGAATTAATATATTTTACCAAACATATTCTATTTTTTTTTTTGATAACAAAACATATTCTATTTAAAAATAGACTACACAGCGATAAAAAAACAATGGCATATAGTTATGCAAGCATGATCTTATGCCCTGTATAGATGTTCCAAGGCCCCTTGTGGTCCACTATCTCTCCTGAAGTAAAATGCCTTGGTTACAACATCTGTTTGCACACAATCCCCCCTATTGGGTCAAGTCGGACCCTCAAGTCAATTGCGAAAGCAAAACAGTAAAATGCAAGATGAGAGAGATGAAAAAGAACACAAGCAATTTGTTTAACGTGGGAAAACCTTCTCCAATGTGAAGAAGTAAAAACCCACGGGACACTAGTCCATAATCAAACTTCCACTATAAAAATAATGAGTTACAACAATCAAACATCTTTAGCCTTTCACTAGAGGTACAATCAAACTTCATCAAGTATGGTGGTAATATCAAACTTCCCTAAAGAGGTCTCACTCAAACTTCTCTCTAGAGGTATTCAAACTCTTTTTCTCATCATTTTTCTCATATCTCTCAACCTAACACACTACATGCTTATATAGGGGAGGGAGATGGTTCTAGACATTGAACCACTCAAAGGATGTGTCCCTTGAGCCTTGCACCTTCATTTATGGAGAGACATTGAACCACTCAAAGGTCATAACCCTTGAGCCTTGCACCAAAAGTGGAGAGTTCCAACCTCTTGGTACTTGAGCCAAGCATTAAAGGAGGAACAACTTCCAACAAATCTCCCCCTTCCGACTTCAATGCGTCGGGATCAGCATCATTCTGACACCTTCATAGCAGTCTTTGAATTTTCTTGCTGGTACTGGTTTTGTTCTCATATCGGACCAATTTTGGTCAATGTGCACTTTGACAAGTTCGAGCTCTCCACCTTCCACCACATCTCGGATCCAGTAATACCTCACATCAATGTGCTTAGTATGGGAGTGATAGGTCAAATTCTTCGCAAGATGAATTGCGCTTTAATTGTCACACTTTAGCTCGTACTTGTCTTGATCATGGCCGAGTTCAGAGAGAAATTATTTCATCCAAAGCATTTCTTTGCTTGCCTCAGTCGCGGCTATGTACTCGGCCTCAGTTGTCGAATGTGCCACACACTTCTGTTGTCTTGATTGCCAGGAGATAGCTCCTCCTGCAAAACTCATCAAGTATCCTGTAGTCAACTTCCTCGAGTCGGCATCTCCCCCTAAATCAGCATCCGAGTAGCCTTGCAACTCAGCTTTGCCTTCTCCAAATCGGAGGCATAAGGGGGTACTTGAAGATCCACTTCACTACTTCCCAGTGCTCTTTCCCGGGGTTTGACAAATACCGGCTTACCATTCCAACAGCATATGCCAAATCGGATCTAGTGCAAACCATTGCATACATCAAGCTTCCGACAGCAGATTGGTATGGGATCTTCAACATCTCATCTTTGTCTTCATCAGATCTCGGACATTGCTTCTGGTTCAGCTTTATGTGTCCGGATAAGGGGGTGCTCACTGTTTTGGCTTTGTCCATGCTGAATATCTTCAAAATCTTCTCAATGTATTTTTCTTGACTCAGCCACAGTAGCTTCTTTTGTCTATCTCGGATTATCTTGATTCCGAGAATCTGCTTTGCAGGGCCGAGGTTCTTCATTGCGAATGATGAGCTCAACGCCTTCTTCAAGGCGGCTATCCGCGATTTGTCTTTCCCTACAATAAGCATGTCGTCAACGGATTTTTTTATTGTGCTCCAGGTGCACAATAAAAATTGATGGTCCTTACTAAAAAGGGAATTTTTCTTCCATTTATACCCCTTTCTTTCATTTAAATCTCCTCCCAATCCTTTTCCCCTTCTATTTTTGGAAAAGGCCCACGAGGGCCCGGCTCATAATAAATGAGCTCGTCGTCAACATATAACAAAAAAATCAGAAAATCTCTGGCCTCATACCTTTTGACAAATACGCAGTGGTCGGCCTCAGTCTTCACAAACTTGTGATCAGTCATAAAAGATTCAAATTTCTTATACCACTGCCGAGGTGCTTGCTTCAAGCCATAGAGGCTCTTCTTCAACCGACATACTAACTCTTCTTGTCCTGGAGCTTGAAACCCTTCAGGTTGCTCTATATATATCTCTTCTTCTAAATCACCGTGAAGAAATGTCGTCTTCACGTCCATTTGTTCTACCTCGAGGTCCATTGAAGCTGCCATGGCTAACACGGTTCGAACCGAGGTCATTTTTACCACAGGAGAAAAGATCTCCTCAAAGTCTACCCCTTTCTTCTGATTGCATCCTTTCACCACAATTCTGGCTTTGTATCTCGGCTTCTGGCCGTTCTCTTCATTCTTAATCTTGTAGACCCATTTATTTTTCAAAGCTCGTCTTCCTTCAGGAAACTCAGTTAGCTCATATGTCTGATTCTCGTGCAGAGACTTCATTTCATCTTGCATTGCATTTTCCCATTCTTTTTTGTCTGAGCTCGTCACAGCCTCATCATAACTCTGAGGCTCACCGTCTTCAGCAGCAACGGTGTATTCATCAGGTGGGTACCTTGTAGAGAGTTTTCTTTCTCGAGTTGGATATCTCGGATGTTCTTTAGCTTGAGAACCTAGTTCATCATTCTCATTCCGGATCTCATCCTCAACTCGGACCTCAGTATCTTGGTCATCATCAGCTTGTTACTGGTCATCATTTTCTTCATTCTCTTGATTTTCTCCCCCTGCTTCAGTTTGAACAGAAGGGATGGGTTCTTCAAGTCTAATAGAAACCCGGACTTTGGGCTTCGAGATGTCATGAATGGTCTCATTTTCATGAAAGATCACATCTCGACTTCTCATTATTTTCTTGTTGATTGGATCCCAAAGTCGAAAACCGAACTCGGATTTTGGTGAACCGAGATAAATACATTCCTTTATTATTGCATCGAGCTTTGCCCTTTCATCTTTAGGGATATACACGAAAGCTCGGCATCCAAACACCTTCAAGTGATCATAGGCCGCTTTCCGACCTGTCCAGACTTCTTCTAGAATTTCTCCTTCAAGTGGCTGTGATGGTGATAGGTTGATCAAGTCAACAGCAGTTCTGACGGCTTCTCCCCATAATTATTTCGGCAATCCAGC